TGGTTTTGGACACCACGGAGCAGTTCAGATTCAGATCGGCTTTTGAATTATTGCCAAGTGTTTGCACGGAACTCAGCGAATTTGTCTTCTGTGTGCTAGTGCTGCCCAGTTCGGCCACAACATTCTGCTCTTCCGCCGATTCATGCTCTATAACTAATTTAAATTAAGGCCCCAACATTACTCTTCAGTGTCTTAAGTTTAAATTCTAGTTTTTATACTAATTTATAACCTCAATATCTGACAAATAATGCCATATTTTCACGGATTTTATAAAGCTCCATGTTCAGTATCATCTTGATTTCTTCTGAACTTTTATGGTAACTAATTGCATTCAGTGTAGAATCAAGTAGGTAAGCTTATACAAAAGTTTTGTTAAATGAATCCAAGCCCAATGCGCTTTTTGCAATCCCTAATAGTGCTTTGTTGCTCTAGAATCAAACCCAAACTTTTCTGGGATAGCTACTGAATCCTTCCCTCTGCCCTGGTGTTTTGCTCCTAATTTCCAACATCAGCCAAGTGCCTTTGAATTTATGATATTTCCTAAAAGTCCCTGTTGCTCACGTGGTAGCCTGATTTGATGTTCTAAATGATTTTTTTTATCAGCGCAAACAGCAACGAAAAACTTTGAATTCGATAAAAGTGATGTTTTCTGGATAGTTTCTAAAACTCAACTATCAAAATAATTAAAAGAATTTCAGCCAAATTTTTCATCCGTAAAATTTTTCAAAAATTGGCTAGGCCTGACAGGGGAAGAATGCATGAATCGTAAAGGAAAGCTTTTTCCAGCTACAGGATTAATACTGACAATTTAAGCTGGCAACTAAGATTCGTCTTCAATTATACCACCAAGTTTATCAGGCAAAAATTGAAAATTACTGTTAATTGCCGCATTGCTAATAAAAGTCTCTTGCACCGGATTCTCCATCTCCAGGCTTTTCGTTTCCTCACGATATGGCGGCGAATCAGTTGACGTCTGAATGAAAAATACAGACATACAGTGACTGGGGATAAGAACCGAAAATAGCCTAGAATATCCATATAAAGCTCAGGAGGGACGGCTTGCCCAGCATCCCAGAAAGAGAATACGCATCCAAGTTTTGGTTCCCCTCAACATTTTGTTCTTTTTTGGATGGTAAATTGGTAATGGCTCATGTCTTGGAGTTAAAACCTGCCATCAACTTGCTTCTAAACAACCCTAAAAGAGGAAGTCAACGATAGCC